GACAGCGAGTTCCTGTTATTTTTAGGCTCTGAGCCATGTTAATGTGGTTGCTCATATTTCATCCTGAAGGCTCACTTTGTGGTTGACAGCAGGCTGACAGTCCTCTAGTCTCACACCAAAAGCCTTCGGACTGCCCGTCTTCTTCGCCTTCTTCATGATGTTGATGCCCCACAGTGCCTTGTTGTCATCTGCACGCGCACACACACACACACACACACACACACACACACACACACACACACACACACACACACACACCAGTGTCAGATTGTCAAACTGGGCACAGACTAAAAGCCTACCTGAGCTAATTCACTATGTATGTGATAGTTCATTTTAACAGAATAGTGAATTTTCTATCAATGGCATTTTTAAAAAAAAAACACAAAGTGATGATTCAAGGTTCATCATCAGAAGCTATAGTGTAGATTTATAACAAAATGCAGTGCCAATCATACTCTGAATTATTACTAAAATTCAGGCAAATGCTAACGGTAAATTACATTTGAATTAGAAACTAACCATAAGTCTTTATGTCCCCCTCCAGGTATGTTTTAAAGTAGGCTAAATGTACAGATGATTCATGTTTGCTTTCAAATGGATTTCTCCACATAAAAGATATAAAGTTAATATGAAGGCTTGAATCTACTCTTTCTCCCTCATTGAGATGTGTACTGGTACCATTCATTTTGGTACCAGCATACATCAGAGCCCTCCTGTGATCCCTGCCAGCCCTCAGCACTCTCTGTCCTCTGGGTGCATGGTGGACCCCGACCAGGTCATGTTGGGACTCACCAGTTCTGGCCCGGTTCACTGAGGCGTTGTCAGTCTTAGCCAGCAGGAAGGGAGGTATCATGCGATGTGCTCTGGGAGAGGAGTCAGGCTTACTGCCTGTCAGACTGCACCCAGGGAGACAAACCAAAACAGAAGAACATCAAGTACGCTGTGATTAGAAGAGGTGTGAAGAGGACGTTTATACAGATTTCAGTAAAAATATCTTTCAGTTCTTTATAGAAATTGAATGATGACCTCAGATATATGAATAAGAACATGATGGGGGTTGTTTTATTTTTGGTTCATGGTATCTGCTCTCACAGTTATTGCCTCGGACAGGCCTCCTGCCCTGAGCAATAGAGACCCTCCTCACACAGAGGATAAGGGACAGTGGCAGTCTGATCATAGAGCTGACCTGTGTTTCCTGTAGTCGTTCAGCTTCTTGTTGATGAGAGCTTGTCCTGAGAAACCGATCTCCTAGAGAAAGAGGAGGGGACAAAAGAGGTCAGTCTGTGTGTGTTTGTGTACATTCCATGAGAGTATGTGTGTATGAAGACCCCACCTCGTTGCCGGTCTTGCTGTTCTCCCTGATGACCCTGATCCAGGCCAGCATGTCGTCCCGGTCCTCGGCCTGCAGCAGGTACTCGCAGAAGTCCTGCGTAGTGAGCCTCAGGGTGTGCTTCCTCTTGGTCTCACTGTAGGCGATGTCGATCAGGCAGCCGCGGATGCTGATTGGAGGATGTTCGTCCTGGCCGGGCCCCGCCCCGTGCAGGACGGCCTCTCGCTTGTCCTTGTAGAAGAAGAGCGAATGGGAGCGCAGCACGGAGAAGACGCGTTTCCATGGTCGCATGCCACCTCCTACTTTCTACAGCAAGGAAATACAGAGACAACAGTCATCCCATCGTTGCATAGCAATACTAACTTTAATTGGTCAAAGTTACAGAGAGAAATGTGTAATCAGGTTATCAATACATTGAGTTCAAATTGATCAATGCCAGATCAAATGTTAAAATACATTATGAAATAAAGAAGGACATGTCCTGCGCACGGCACACATTATATTCATGATACAATCGCCTCTCTTAATGAAGAATACTCCTTTAATTTGGATTTAAGGAGTTAACCAGGAATGTTCTTTGCATCCCAGTGCCAAAGTCGTTGCAGTAAAATTAGCGAACGTTTAGAATTTCTGCTCTGCGAAATGTTCATGTTTAATGTATTTGAGTCCTGCCCAGTTAAATCCCAGAACACTTATGTGCAGAATTTGGTGATGAAAGCAGTTTCACAGCTGGAAGGCAGAACTGAACTGCGATGAGGTTCCTCTTGTCTGCTTCACGTGCAAAACATTAATCAAACTTCAGCATTTTTCTTTCCTATAATTTCTTGTTTTTTTTTTGCATATGAAGTATTGAGAAATTGAGGGGTGTGTTACCTTCCCCTTCTCGGTGAGGATCTGTTTGCAGTGCAGCCAGCCCTCCCTGCGTATGTTGCTGAAGGTGATGGTTCCCAGCTCGGAGGTGGAGTGGCATTTGGAGCGGGCCTCCTCCTGAGCTCGCAGGCTCTCCTCCTGAGCTCGCAGGCTCTCCTCCTGAGCTCGCAGGCTCTCCAGAGACTGAAACACAATAAGGGTTATTATGGAGTGCACACCACACAGTTTGTTTGGAAATAGAAATATAAAGTACAAATATATAGTTGCACATGTTGAGCACTTACCCCATCAGTGAAAAAGCTCTTGACCCTTTTTGGTAGTTTGCTGTGAAACAGAGCGGACAGGAGTCACACAAACAGAACTTGTAAAGACATGGGAAAAATACATACTCAATGGTAAATATACGTTTTGACAACCAAAATAAATCAAACAAAACATATTAGTAACTATAAAAACAACAAATGTCAATAACAAAAAAAAAAGCGGAAATGACATAATTGCATTTCCCCTATTCACAATGTTGTTTACGAAAAGGCAAAATGCAATGTAGGCTCTTTGTACCTAACAAATACTCTATAAACTGTGAAACTTGGATCAGTTGAAATCTATTAAGCTTGGTATTTACTTCGGAAAACTTGAAGTGTCTATCAATGATCCTGTGTCACTGTGAAGGCTCTGCGGCACACAATGTTTAACACTACTCATTTCTGACAAAAAGAAAAGAAAAAAGAATGCAGTTTTTAAATGGCCCTTTGAGTTCTTACGAGAAGACACGGCCTTCCTCCCTGAAGGTGTTGAGACCCTCGTCACAGGACTTGGATCTCTCTGTGGTGATGGCCAGCAAGTAGGAGGAGCGGCGACTTTTAATACTCCCTGAAGAGAGACAAGAGGAGTTAGAGAGGGGAGGAGGAGGAGGAGGAGACTAAGATTTTATAATGAATGGTAGTGACATGTGACACAATATGTTATTTATGGTGGGGAAATGTGAAGCTGATTTTAAACTTTGACATAAGCCAGGTAAAGGAACTAAAGGCTTAGTTCTCAGTTTTGGATACATTTGACCCTACAGCGCTGCAGCATGTAATGTCCTTTCGTTATCAGGAGTTTTACATACAAATAAATTAATCCAACAAGAGTTTGAATGAGTGAAACAGATTGGTGCAGCAGTGATTTTAGATAGCAGCGTACTCCTTTAAAATGAGAATGAGGCTGAGAGTATATATATATATTTTTTTTGCATGCATTACATAACTTCATCTTGATTCAAATGAATTAAGCAAACAATGGCAGTGATGTTGGTCAATGTCAGACATATGAGATATTGATCTGGCTCTGTGAGAAGCTTTTCAGTATTGAGAGTGAGACTCACTGAGGTTCTGAGAACAAAGTGTGACAAAGGGGGAGATGGAGGAGAGGGTGGGGGAGACAGACAGGGTGGCCACAGTGGAACTGGACACAACAGAGCAGGCAGGAACATAGCAGGCCTGCAGGTCAGAGCCGGGGCTGCTGGGATCATCTGAGGCCGCCACAGGAGAGAGTTACAGAGACAGACAACACAACTAACACTCTCTCAGGGTTAACTGACAACAAACATACACTTGACATGTTAACATTGAACATTTTCTAAGACTTAACTGAATGTAGTGACTAGTGAGGGTACATATGACACACACTGACTGGTAATAACAAACAGAAATGTTGAGATGGGTAGAAACACACCAGGTCTCACGTCTTTCTATTTATCATTTTTATATTTATGTAATATAAGAATGTATTATCAGCATTATTCTGCACAATAATCAATAACTCATCTTATTCTATTTTTTTCGTGTTTTTTTCATGTTCGTACATTTTATAGTTTTCTTTGTAAAGAAAACCTGTTATTTGCTTCTGTTCAAAATGTTTATGAATATAACATTTGATTAGATTTATGTAAAAATGTCGTAATTGTACAAAGCTTTGGCAACACTCCGTGTCATTACGTCATGCCAATAAAGCTATTTGAATTGAATTGATTATTGGGACATGTAGTGGTGAGTGTGACATCTTCTGACAGCTGTTGCCACAGTAACAGTGACTCACCTATGAATGGAATGGAGGACAGGGAGTTGTATGCATGCTGTGCCAGGCTACCGTTAGCCCTGCGGGTGGGGGTCGGCCCCCCAGAGACAGGAGAGGGGGTCCCTTGTGAAGGTTCCAGACCAATGGGCTCTGGTGGCTCTGCTTGGGGGGGGTAATGGGGGTGTCGGGCGGCCTGAACAGGAGTTCTGCGGCCAGAGGGGGGCTTCTGCCTCAGCACCACCTCCTGGTTCAGAGAGACGGGGGAGAGGAGCTCCCGGTCCTCCCCCAGGCAGGCTCTCTCCTCATCTGACGCAGACAGGGCGGGGGTGGACTGGGGCCTGGGGACCAGAGCCCCCTCACAGTCTGCAGGGCTCCAGGTGAGGTGGGGGCCGCTGTAGCTGGGCTCTCTGAAGGAGTGGGCCTGCTGGAGGGGGTGTACGGCTTTGCGGGAGAAGGAGGGGCTGTAGCTCCTGTAGCCCACCAGCTCATCCTCTTTAACGCGCCGGGTCTGGGGCTCAGCTACCTGCCCCCCCCGCCTGCTGCTGGGAGGCACTGTGGAGGAGGCAGTGATGGGGGGGGACGCTGTGGTTTGGTGCTGATGCCCCGCTGACATTTTCTGCTCTCTGGAGTTAGCAGTCTGGGGGCCATGTTGGGGGGGTTCATGGCGTGCTGACACCAGAGCGGAGGCCTGGGCCAGGGTCTCCACGGAGCGGCCGTAGTTATGCTCATATTCTGCGTACGCTGCCAGCAGGCCCTCTGAGCAGCACCGGCTGCCGGGGCCCGACAATCCCCCCAA